AGAGAATTGACTTTAGTGTTGGAGCTAGATCGGCTTTTTTCCAAGACCCTGGTGCCAGGCGTTTGATGCGTGCATCCCCTTTGCGCACGGCCACTAACATAAGTCTTGTACGTGACTGTGGCATAACTTCTAGCAAGTTCAAATTTTCCTTCCAAATGATCTCATATCCTGCCCAGTCGAAGAACGCAATAATCCAGGGAGCATGTGTGTGTGCAAACACGGAAGCAACTTCTTCAAGGACGATGACTGCCGGTTGCAAGAAAGTGCATTGGATGATGGCATATATGATCAACCGGCCCTCCTCACAGTCTAGACCTCTTTCGGCCCCTGCTCTGCTCCAAGGTTGACAAGGTGGAGATGCTGCGAGTATGTCGATCGGTTCCACTAGATGACACCACCAACCGTGTTCGATGTTTGCCACTATCGTCAAATGCTCTTTGGGTGGTTCTCCTGTTTCTCCTAGGTCGAAGGCTTGGTCGGAAGAGCCAATTGGAGGGAAGTTGGAATGGTTCCGTGCATGAACTTTGGCAGCGAGGATGTCGTTTTCTATGGAGAAGACTTGTTTGACTGGCAGAAAGGCATCAGTTAATGTTTTGGCGGCAAAGCTCCATCCAGAAAATCCACCTGCGAAGAATTCTCCTATTCTAATTGGCTTCTGTTTATCAGGATTGTCAGGATGCATTGGCATGATTCCCGCCTGAGGTGCACGAACATCAATGATGCATTTTCCGTCAACCCACAACAGCCTTGCCTCAATGATAAAGATCCTCCTGTCTTGTCCTATCAAATGTCTCAAGCGACTTGGTAGTGACAGAAAGGCAAATGTGGACTTATCATGTGTACATTCCGGCCAGGAAAAGTCCATATCTCCTACGCATTTGCTCCTGACAACGTGTGGGCTACAAAGACGGCATGTAACCAGGTCATACTCGTTCCAGGTCTGAGCAAACGACCCCACTATGGCCTCGGCTGAGACACCTCTGGTGTGGCAGTGACACAAGGCTTCGACAGGATGGTGTTTTCTTACGAAATCAGCCATAGTACTCCTGGTGTTGTGCTTCAGTGGAGGTAATGGTTGTCCTGGTCTCCATGTAATCTCAGGGCCTCCTCCCCGTACATGCCTATCAACCCATTGCGTTTGCATGAGGTGTGCTAAGAACAGGGTGCGGACAGCAAATGCGAATTGAATCAGGAAGTGGTCTTGTGTGGCTAGACGCCACGCCCTGACCGCATATCTTCCAATGTATGCGAAGTCCTCGGCCCATTGGTGTGTCTGAAGTTGGTGCACGCTTTCTTCACAAGACGGCATGAATGTGACATCTGCAGCGTCGAAACAGCCTTGTAACATTTTGAAGCCGCACATGCCATCTGGGCAGTCGTACGGGAATTGGTGTGCTCTAATCCTGTGTGTTCGGACCTGCAGAAACCGTGCTAGTGCTTGCAGAAAAGCTGGGAAATCCTGGGCCTCCTGTGAGGGAAAACCGTACACATGTATCCAGACAAGCCCCCCCGTCAAACAGGACATGCACAGCGAACCAGTGATGTTGGCGGGCAACCAAGAATCTATGCTCAAGGTGGTTGGCTGTGTTGGGTCGCCTATTGGAAATGACCTCAATATCGTTTGCCCCCGGTTGCCACATACAACATGGAAGGAAATTCACATGGCCTGCAAAATGACGGCATATGTCGATGGTGTAGTCCAGTTCGTCCGATGCTGCTAGAGCTGGGTAGACACAAAATTCTTGGACCCTGGTGCGTGTTCTCTGCAATCCTGGCCCACTTTGAGAGATTCTCAGTCCCCCAAACTCCTCCCCAAGGAAATCGGTCTGGGCTCCAGCATGGACATGGATATTGTGATGCACTGGAACAATTGCTAGGTTTTGCTCTTCGGCTGTTAGCTCAGTCGTCTGGGTAGCAACAGTACTGATTTGTCGTTCCGGGGAGTCGGCAGTTGACTGGCCAAATACAGACAGCGGATGACCTGCAGCACAAATGGCCAGTGTGTCAAGTCGAGTGTGTACACTAGTGTTGAACTGGAATAGATGTGTAAGAAAAGCTTGCCGTATTGTGTACGCAACTTGCTGCAGTTCTGTGTTAGCCTGTGTTTGTGCCCATGCTTGTGCCGACTTTTCAAGGACTCTTGCTATGATTCTCTTGCGATCGTCAGCCAAACCTTGGAATTCTGAAAGGGTCCTCGCAAATGTATGTTGTGCATGGGACAAGACCATCCATCTCCACACTAACGACCATCCACACATGTTTGGAGGGCCAGTATTGTTCCAGTGTCTTATGACTAGGCGATGGCCAGGGATCTGAAGGATGTGACTGATGAACATTTCGAGTCTGACCTGATTTGCTTGTGGGCACTGAAGTATGGCCACCTCTGGCATTTGATGCTGTTTATCAATCTCGACCCCCATCCAGTGCGCTCCGTAGAGAATAGGAAGCAAACTGATACCAGTATTTGGTATATGGATTTCATTGCACTCAAAGACAAATTCATCCGTCACAGTCGAATATATGGCTGCTGGCAGGAAATGAAAATGGGATTCGGCTCTCCTCATACGATTGGCCATGAATGCCCATTCGTCTGTCGCCATCCAACCCTCTGTTTCTTGTGCGAAGACAAAACGCTCCCCCAAGGTTGCGTGCGGGCGCAAAAAAGGCCGCTCGGGCTGATGTCCAAGTGGGCGCCCCGCCCGCGGCCACGAGAGGGTATTGTCGCTTTTTGGCCAAATGTTTCTCCAACGTATCACCCTCCGAAACGAGTCTTTCAGGTATGAGACCCTGGTAGTTGCATATGCCCATGGCAGTGCTCCCTATGCGCGCCCCGGGGTGCTCTGTCGAGCAAGGGTAGAAACGGCTGCCAAACAATAGGTCACAAGCACCGGAGACTCTTGGAGGTGGTTTGTTTTGCCCTACCTCATCTTGTGTCCGGATGGCTCCCAGGGTGCTCAGACCGCTAGGGGACGGTTCATTCTGCCCTGTCCCTTCTTGATCTTTCTTAGTTTCACTGACGCTCTCAACATCTGGAGGTGGTTCATCTGTCCCTACCTCATCTTGATCCTTTTTTGAGTGGTCAAAACATGGGGATTTTGGCATGTCGCTGGAGGTCATGTGCTTGCTTCTCGCATCATTCAACTCGAGATGTTGGTCTTGAGATGGAGGTGTTGTCCATCGGCTGAGCGTTCGCGAGCACCCAATTCCCTTGCGCCGCCAAAATTCGAGGCAAGATCTTCTCCAGCTTCTGTTCGGCCATGCGTTGATTGTCATGCTATAGATCAAAGCACGGCACCATCGCAGTGATTTGGTAAAGCTGACTCCGAATCGAAACCAAGTCACTAGAACATTCACCATGTAGATCGTTTCGATACTTTGGCGAAAAAAGACCTCTTCGTTCATCCCCACAAGCCATTCGAGAGTCGCCTGTGTCGCAATCAGGTGATCCACCATGGGCACATGTGGGCCTTGGTCCTCTTGGGTGCCTTCGCTAACATGTGGGTCATTCCAAGCGGCAATCCATGTCGTTCCCCAAGTCTCCTGTATCTCACAGAGAAACCACTTCTCAGGATTCTGAGACAGGAGGTCCTCATACACAGCACGTCGCACTTTCAACCGGCTTGGCTTGTCACCATCCAAGGATTCCGACCAAATCTCTAGGACAGCGAAGTCATGGCAGACCTGTAAGGTACACCATCTGTCAATTCGGATCTGCCTCCTCTGAGTACTCAGGATCTTTTCCGTTGATCTGACTTTCCCAGTGTACATGTAGTCCCGACATGGCGTCAGTGGCATGACCCGATCTGCAGCCGTGGTGAGAACCACAGCTGACAGCCAAACCGCGCGAAGGTTCGGGCCGTAATGGCTTACCCCAATTGAATTGAAACACCTCTTCATAGGGGGGTTTCTTAATCAAGAGTCTGCACTAAATTAGGTGATGTGAGGGAGAAGTTTTGGGGGAATTTCATCGGCAATGGATATGACATGGTATGACTGTTTGAGCCAGTTCTCACTCACCCAAGTTTTTCGGAGTTTTGTAGGCACCTTCGTCTTTGTTTGTTTGGTGAAAGAGGGCTTCAGCCGTGTGGCAGTGTCCCGACACCTTCCACGGTGAAGCTCGGGCGTTCCAAAACCCCTGGCGATCAGCTCAAGCTCCGCTCGGGGCACCGAGCGTCGCTGCACCGGAAACCCACGGAGCGGGCTGCTTATTCCAAGAGAGGTTAAGTGACCGTAAATAGGACCCTACTGGGGTACCTATGGGATGGTCTATAGGGTCATTCAACCTCTGTTGGTTGGGCTGCTGCTTCTTCAGTCTTTGACTCATAGGGTCCAGGTGCCTCCGATTCGGATGGTCGAACCTCCTGGGGCCTAACAAAGGACGTCCCGATTCGGGATGGTCATGGACGGGTGAAGGAGGAGTCGCGCTCGACCCGCGCCGCCTGCGGCGTTTCGTCTCTTCTCCGACCTTCGGTGACTTGACTCCCGTGACGAAGCGTCACCACCTGCCCAGACGCGAGAGCTTGGAGCCTCCACATGGACCAACAGAGGTTGAAGAACCAGAACTAGACTATCCCAGTTGGGTACCCCAGTAGGGTCCTATTTACGGTCACTTAACCTCTCTTGGGAGAGCTTGGACCCTCAAGTCCCCAAATCCCGAGATTTGGAATCAACGGGACCGGTCGGGCTGTTTGTCACGGAGCGGTTGTCTGGTGCGAGTCCTGTCATCCGGTGAAGGGGGGGTAGGGCCCTGTCGTCTCGTTGACTCTTAGAGACGGAGCTCTGCGACCATCCGAAGACCCAGACACTGGCGGAGCTATGCGGAGCTTAGCGGAGCTTAGCGGAGCTTCATGTTGATTCGTGGATGGGTTTGGATGATATCACAAACGGCGTCATGAGGCTTTGAGGACCTTTTTTTTGAAAATCACGTTCCCTACAAACAGAGAACCACAGCGAAGGACGTGCTTCGATTTCATGCCGCGGGTTCCGCATCCCGGCCTGAGGATTGGCAAGGACCGCATCATCCCTTTGACCTTCTCCTTGCTGAACCACTCCTGCTGCCCCAATGTGCCATGCTCCGGGCCGACCGGGGCGGTCCGCGTCGAGACGCCCCTCTTCAGCGGTCCAACGGCTGGTCCACTGGGTGTTTTTGGAAGTTTCCCTAAGCATCGAGGACCCTCAGTGGCGGTGTTGGGGTGTGGGGAGGTTCGGGTCCAAACCCCTGCGTTCTGCAGGATCCAAACCCTCCAGAAGTGGTCGGGTCCAATGATTCTTAGGGTTCTGAAGAAACAATGGATTTGGTGTTTTGGGGCCCAACTATTTGGTCTCGTGGATGTTGTTTTTGTTGGTTTGTTTTGGTACGCATGCCTGTCTGACATGTCTTGTATCACATGATTGCAGATATAGGGTGACTGTTCGTGTGTCCCAGTAAACCAGTCCAGTATACGAGTCGATAAAAGATTATCATGCTTCCTGAGATGTCGGCCAGCGACCTCACCATCAGTATCCAAAGGGCGGACATACCGATATACCACATATGCAGATACCTAGCACTTCCTGTCCGGGTGCCCTGGAGTAGGAGACCTGTTTACATAGGGTAGGGTAGTCTATTGGACACCCATTGGATGATCCTGGTATGATCAGAGATGTGACGTCCGGTGACGTGCACAGCCTCCAAGTTGGGAGACCGTTCGTCCCCTTCTGCACAGGGAACTGCGTACCCAGACGCTCCATGTATGCCAGTATGCCATATATTTGCCTAAATTAGGGTGGTTTGGGGGATCAACGTAAGGCACATATATATTCCATGCGTGGAGGGTATGATCAGTTTTACACTCCCTGAAAGAATGAAACAAACTGGATGGCGCCATGGCCCCCGGAAGACAATGTTTCCTGTTTTTCAGGGTCCTGAGTCCTGGTTTTTCTTCCATGTTTGTTGGTGTTGGAAAGAAGGTCACCGGAGAGTACACACCCAGAGCTTCACCGCTCACGTTCGAGCTTCACCGTTCACCAGTCTTCGGGGTGCTCTGTCGCACCACCTGGGACTTGGGTGAGGAGATCCAACGGTGGACGTCCCCCTAAGAATCCGCCCCGAAGCAAAGCCTTCCCAGAGCGGATCGTCTTATAGGGTGGGAAAACCTCCCGAGAATCATGCACCGGTTTGATCCGGATGTTTTTCCTCTCGATCTATCCACGATCTGTCCTCCCAAAAGGTCCCCGAGGAGCGGGTCCCCGAGGAGCGAGTTCTTTCTTGCACCACTTAGACTTGTTTGCCGATGTTTCTTCCTTCAATGCTGGACGAAAGCTCTGCAACTCGACATACCAAGAGAGGTAGCCAGTGACCGGTTTCATAGGACCTGTCACCTGGGGTACCCAACTGGGATAGTCTAGTTCTGGTTCTTCAACCTCTGTTGGTACAACTTTTCTTGCAACGTGCTCTGCTTTGCATTCAATTCAAGCGTCATATATATATATATATATATATACCAGCAGTCACAAAGGGGTGCTTAATGGAGGTTAGGGGTGCCCAGCTACTCCACTCACTGGATGGGACCGAACACCACCCCGTCGAACGTGACTCCTGGTATATTCAATCAAGTGATGCCACCTGTGAAAAATCGCTCCCGTCGTGAAACGACACCATGTGTAGATCCGTCAGGTGCCATCACCGGTTGGCCATGGCCATCCACCCCACAGGCGCGACAGCGCTTTCATTCGATGAAGCGCTGCCCGGCTGAGGCCAAGATCAGCTACCTGAACGATTTGGGCACGCTCCGCTGCATCCGGCCCATTCAAGAGGGGGAGGACCGGGTCTGAATTCCAGGTGGAGAGTCGAAGGTGCCGGTGTAGAGTCGAGGGACCTTCCCACCATCTCCTCCATGTACTCTCACATGTATAGGCTGGGTTTGTCCGTTCTTACCTGTAACAGTCAGTAAACAAGTATTACTATTTTTGAACCAGGCCTGCAACTGAACCATCATCATCCACTGTTACAGGTAGTAGGATGATAGACCCAATATATATAGCAGACGCGACACATGGGATTGGAATATGCCACCCCATTGGCACCCCGAACCCGCCCCAACTGATCGGCAGTCATATGGCAGTCCCATTAGTCCTGCCTGGGACATGTACCTAGTTTGGCGGAAAAGAGGGTGGATTTGTGATCTTCCCGAACTGGGCGATGCCGAAAGAAGACCGCGGGATGCCATGACTCTGGACCGAAGAAGGGTGTCCTGGGGACACCCTGGCTGGAGATCCACAAGTCTTGTACGGAAGTCGAGACCCCGACGTCCGATGGTCGGACTGTGATGGTCCCCCCGAAGGCACGAACACAGAAGTCCCGTACACGTGGAGTTCACCCCCTATCTTCGTCAAAGGAAAAGACGTCGTCTTCCAATGTCTTGGAGAGGGGCCAGGCGGCCAGGCCATCGACTTCCATGTTTTCTGTGTTCGCTGACGAGTGTTTCCAACATGCCTGTCTACCTGGACCATCCTGTCGGAGTCTCCGAGTCTCTTTTTCCGGGTTCCTGAAGCAGCCAATCCAAGTCATCAGACACTAAGAGAATTGGGGAAACCACGCAGACAGAGCGAGACTGTGGAGGCGGCACTCCTTCACGTCGATGAAGTTCGAACTTCACAGCGAACGGATCTTTTCAGCGATGAGTCCACGGGCGGGGTGGACATCCATGGACCATCCAAGACCATAACTTATCGCCTTACACGCATATAGTCCAAAGAAATCTCCAGTGTTCATACGTGTTCTTTTTTCGCGACCGACCGGGAGGACCCATCACTTCGAACGGTTTTCCACACCACAGTGCTGAAGATCAGCGTTCGCTCGCTGATCTTCCTTCTTCGTACGTGTTTGGCCGAGTCGATCTGGGTCGTCGAACAGATGACAGACATGGCGGCGCCAGGAGATCCTCGTCTCGTACATTGATGAGTTTCAAGACGTGCTCTCAAGGCTATCGAGACGTTTTGATGTCACCGGGCGACAGGAGACATCGGAGACATCGGTGAGGACGTCGACCGACGGGTCTCCCGGTCTCCCCGGTCGGAGTTGGGTTTCAGAGGACGGTGGGTGGTGAATTTGGGGAGACCGCACCGGCAGGACCTGCAGTGAAATGGCCGGAGCCAGGACCCATCAAGGGGTGCCCCGTCTGGAAGCCATCCTAGGTAGTGTGGGGTAGTCCAGCCAGGACACCCCTTGGAGGGTCCAGGAGTTGGATGAGTCATGAGTTGGAGAGATTTGGTCTCCGAGACCCGGTCTCACCGTGGTCGAGCGGTGAGACCGGCGATGGGAGACCCTCGGAAGGTCGTAGACCTCGCTTGAAACATCGACGAATCGAGCCATCCATTGGGTATTTGCGGATTCGTTGGGCGAACTCGGCAATTCCAGACACTCCATGGGACTGCCATATATGCCGATCAATTGACCCCTCAAACCACCCCTGGCCTGATCGGCAGTCCTATGGCAGTCCCATGTGTCGTGTCTGGGAATTCCAAACACAGCAATCACTATGGGGCCCGGGGCCTTTAGGCGATGGGCGGATGGGGCTCTGAAGACAGGAACCGGCCGGACTCTGAGATCACCCGTTAAACGTCGATGAGAGAACCGGGGATACTGGGCGTTATTCACGAAAGCTACCAAGAGAGGTTAAGTGTCCTGAACTACCGTAGGTGGACGAATTATTCAAACCCTTGCAGACTTCACCCCCTACCCCCCATAGTTCAATGTTGGCCTGTTGGTGAAGGAGGTTGGCTTGAGTGGACGAATCAAATCAAACCCCTGACAACAAAACATCTTTTCACTGAGACAACATTGAAATCGGGGGTGCGGGGGTGGTGGTCTGCTATGGTGGTTTAGGGTTTGATTAATTTGTCCATCTACTGTAGGACCCTACTGGTGTACCTATGGGACAGTCTATAGGGTTCTTCAACCTCTGTTGGTAGCACCAGCTAGCTGGAGTACGTACTTTCATGTACTTTCTTTGTTTTGATCCCCCGCTTCACGTTCGCCCTAGCTTTCGTCACCCACCCTCGGCCCAACGGGTTTATACAAACTCAATCACCCGAAACTTCCAAACTCCGCGAGGACGTCGCGACGTGCGAGAAGAGATTAAAGTGCCCCGGACGTCGCGCGTGCCCCGGACGTCGCTCCAGACGCTACTTCTTCCTGGAGCTGACTGGCGCCAAGTGCCTTTGCCCCCGCTGTGCGGCCAACTTTGGCCAGGGCGGCGATGTGCCTGGGCGGCTTTGGCCAGGGTGGAAAGTGGAATGTGGTGAAGAAGTACATCCTGGATGCATCCCCAAAGACTTGATGTAGAGAGTTGTCGACACCCAACTAAACTGAAACATGAGGAGGATCTTCGAAGTAGATATTTCAGCAGACTCTATCAGAGAGCAAGAGAGAGCTCACCTGGTCACCTATCGCTCTTCTAACCCTGCTTGCTCCCAAAAACAAGGTCGGCACAAGACCCCTGCCATGTGCAGAGCAAATGCGTGCGTGAGTTCCAAAACAAGACCTTCCGGACTTAAGACCGACCTCTCACACTGTTGATCTAGTTAGGAAGGTCAGACTTCCTGGATCATACTGTGTGGGCAAGGAACTGCAAGGGAGTCTGCAAGGGTGCACCTTCCTACCAAACGAAGAACCTCCAGAAATCTGGGTGCCGTGCATCTCTGATGATAATGACTATAAGGAACTATTCAGGTCACACTTGATGATTTCCTGAAGCATGTCAGAAATGCAACAGCTTAGTGCAAAGCTTGAGGATGCTAGCAACGCTGCTGGTGCTATTTTAGCAATAGGTTTTACCTGCTTCACTTCAGGATTTTCTAGAGGGTGGCCGTTGAATCTTTGCGCGAACCTGGGCTCTTTTCTTGCTTTGTTGGGGCTTCAAACCTTGCTTCTCACCTGCTCAACCGTCTGTCACTTCCGCCGCCTTCGCTTCAGTTAGATCGCTCCTTCTCCTTCCGTCAGGTGCTCAGCCGGTGGATCTGCCCCAGTTGTCGAGAAGTTCTGGAGGATGAGGCCGTCGACGTCCGCGCCAGCGATGTAGGACCGGAGTGCGCGTAGGCTCGCTTGCGCTTGCGCGCGGGAGTGCGTAGCGCACGGTACTTTGTCACGGTGTGCGGTGTGTATCCTGCAAGAATTCATGAGAGAATCCTGGACGGACATAGTCGGCTTGAGTTATTCTCCAGTTCGCCCTCACACGAGGTGACCCTGAACAGCGCGATTGTAGGATCACGTTCGCGAACACGTTCGCGACCCATGGGAAGAAGACAGGCGCGCCTGTGCGCCTTCTGGACCATGAAAGGAGTTTGGGAACGACCTGGTGCTGTCGTGTTCTTTTAACCCAGACACAACTAAGGGGACTGCCATATCAGTTGGGGTGATGCCACGGGGGTCGTGTCTGGGTAATAGGGTCATGTCCCATTTTCTGGTACTTGAAGTCGGGTCCAGCTTGGTGGTGCTGGTTTCAGTCCATTAAATCGCTTGGGCCTTCGAAGATTCTTCGCTTCGCTTCGCCTGCCTTTGACGCTGCAGCAGATGTGGATCGGAGTGCTGGAGGTCTATCCTTCCCGTCGCCACGCTACAGCATGTCTGACTAGACCAAGGATCCATGTCTTAATTCAAATCTGCCGGGCGCCGCTTGACCCGAGCCAAAAAGACATGTATAGAACATGGGACATGACCTGTACATCCTTTTTGACATCCTATAACTCGAAACATTCTAGACAAAGGGTGCCTCTGTCTTGATATCTATACCAGCAGTCACAAAGGGGTGCTCAATGGAGGTTCGGGGTGCCCATTATCCACTCACCTAGGGACTAAACACCACCCCGTCTTATGACTCCTGGTATATAGACTTTAGAGATCTCCGACTTGTTCCACAAGCCCTGTGTTTTGCTCAGGCCGTCCACTGTGCCTGTGGACTGACGGTCACGGCCGGCGAGCGGCGCAGCCGGCGGGGCGCGGAGCAACGCTTCTGGGAGCTACTGGGACAGGAGACGCCCGGTCCCTAGCCCATCCTAGCCCTACAAACAAGTCCAGTCTGACCCAGTAAAACCGTATGTTTGTATACATCCTGAAGTAGTGCTTTTGCATGACCACGTCCAGTAAAATGAGTTCATTGACCTGTATAGGTACTTGCTTTTGACCTCACCCACCCCCGAATCTTCTTCGTGCCAGCCAGGGGTGCGACCTAGTGACACGTGGCATGTTTGACGCATAGATGGCCCTTGGCGCACCCCAAGTTGGTTGGTTCACGAAGGGCATGGGACCAGTGGCAGACCAGTGGCAGAGCCCGATTTCTGAGCCAAGGGCGGACACAGAGCCCGTCTTCCGCACGAAGATGGCTGGGACCGTTCTTGTTCAAAGATGACTTGTTGCTTTTCTCACGAATGAAGGAACTGGACCTTCAGTGTTTAGATGGACCATCAGAAACAAGGAAGGGTTGAACCGGGTTGGACAGATATAGAGAGGAACGGGCCGCCCACTGTGTTTTATTTTAGATAAAAAGGCTCAAAGCCATTGCCAGGCAAGGTGGTATCAGAATATATCTTCCCTGGGAGTCAAAGACTATAAAAAGAAGGGTCTGACTAGGGGACCTGAGTTCGGGAACTTCCTGGATCCTTCAGCCGGTCAAAATATAGTCTTTGCACTTCCAGGGTCTTGATTTTCAACCTGTACATGTGGATGATTGATCCCACCTGTCGGACTCATCTTTTTGAGAAACCACCTGTCCCAGTAGCGGTTCAACGTACCAGGCTCATCAAACGCACCTGTCCCAGGCTGAGATGTCAAGTCCAACATCGTACCGGCCCGGTCCAGTCTCGGGGTTTGGACCCAAACCCGATCGATTTGAGGGCCAGGACCCACGGCGTGAGCAGCGCAGTGCACTTGATATACACCCTAGAAGACGATCCCATAGACCCTGAAACCCACTGGTTGGTAGAGGCAAACACTCAGACCCAGGGGGCCAGGACGGACCCGGGTCTATGTTAGGTTTCAGGAGTGTGGCGCATTCATAGCATTCATCGGCACGCCGCGCTTGTCATCCGATTCCTGGTCATTCCATTGGAGACGAACGAAGTACTCTCTGTGCGTCCCACCATTGGTACCCTGATGTGGTCGTGGTCGGAACTTGTTTTTTGGGTTTTCCATTCCCCAGACGCGACACGTTTGGGACTACCATAGGACTGATGATCAGTTGGGCTGGTGGTTTGGGGGTCAATTGATCGGCATATATTGTATATATATAATAAATGTTATATGTTCGTTCGGGTTCAGCTGCTGTTTTTTTTTTGCGCAGGAGACTCGACGCTTCTTGAAGGTGGCAGGCGAGCTTTGGACCGATGCCGACCAGCTGCCGAAAAGCGTGGACTGAGCTCGGGACGTTGATCAAGCGAAGATACATGGCAGCAGCTGGCTGCCCTGGCAGACCTTCATAGGACTGGAATGCCCACATGGAATCCAGAGAAACTCACCCCAATGTATACCCAGTAAGTCTAAGTATGTGCAAAGGATACCCCTAGGAAAAGGTTAAACTGTCTGGGTATTATATATCGGTCTATATTCCATGGACCATTCCATATATGGAGTGTTTTCTTTACTTTATCAACTTTCAAGCAACAGACGACCCCCTGTGAAGATCGGTCGAACGCAGATGTCCGACATTTCCATCGAACGCCGTCGAAACACCAACTTGATGGCTTTAAGCCAAAACCGAACAACCGAGCTGTTCTACTAAGATAAGGATATTAAATTGTCAACAATTTTTTCAAGCCAGGTCAACTATGCAAACACCAGGTCTCTACCATTCGTCTTTCCAGATACAGAAGACAAGGCCTGGTATAGCTCTGACTCTGACTCTCTGGTATAGAAGGATCGTTGGCGGAGAAACCCAACTCCGCCCGCCCCAGCCAGGTCGGCGCGGATGTGTAGATGGTGAACAGGTCCATAGAGGTTCCCGAGGTGATTTTCATGAGGGAATGGAGGGTGTCAATGACTGACTTGGACTTGTGCAAGCTGCAAGCTTGATGGCACCAGGTAATTTGATTTCTCATGACTCATATACTGTACCTGGTTTTGCTTGTGTTGTTTTGGCATGGGACTCGTTTTTCTCAGTTCCTTCAGCAAAGCTCAGACCGCTCAGACCGCTCGGGACGACTTCCGGCACGACCGGACCCGTCGTAGGCAGTGGCATCGCCGAAGAGATCAAGAACTCCATGAGCACGGTCAGCAAGGTCCTCTCAGATGCTCGGTGAACCCGGGTTGAGTCTCCGCGGAGACTCGTCTCCGCGGGCTGTATGGAGCTTGCACCGCGGAGACCGCCCGCGTTCTTTTGGGGAACTGGGGAACGAGGAAAAGACGTGTCACTTCTCAGAGTGCTTTGGAAGCCGTGGTTTGGAGGGGTGAAGAAACATACCATGCACTGTGTGTGTTGGGTCCTGAGAGTCCTGAGAGACATGACCCGAAAATGGACCGTGAGACCGGTCCGCTTCTGGATGACACATACTTCTCACCAGCATGGCACCGTTGGCAACGGTGCCACCGCTTCTGCAGTTCCCAGGAGCTGCATCACCTGCGGCCTTATGGTAGCCCTGCCAGCATCAAGGAGAGGATGCCGAGAAGGTTTTTCTCCAAGCCCCTTGTTCAGACGCGTGCACCTCAAAAGAGGGTGGCCAGAAGACATTTCTAGTGACTTTTGCTGCGTACCGTATTTGAGTCATGTTTGTGCTGGAAACGCATGGCTCTTAGGTCATCAAGCTGTATAATGTGGAGCATGTCTTATCTTTGTCTGCTTTCATCACAGCAGCTGTCTCCTTTCCCTCTTCTTTTTTGACATTGCAAGCTGCCAACATCTGTACCAGTCCGTGCTTGAGGTGGTCAAGGTCTCATGTACTCAGTACATTCAGTACGTAACTCTCGGTGGGGACCAGCCTCCCCGACTTCCTCCGTCGATGTTGGGAAGGTGTCCTCGTGACGATGGGATGGGATGGGCAAGCTGCAGGTTTAACGGTGCGGACAGGTCCTTCCCATTGGAAGGTGGAACTTCACATTCCAAAAACCATTGAACAAAACTCAAGCCACATCCCCAAAGATTCGTATTCATATAATAGAGAGATTCATTGATTCATTGGTCCTTACGATGAAACATCAGACGAAGCGCCAGAGCTCACCAGGATCAGACCAGACCTTGAAATTATCAGTGAGTTCCGAGATGTTCGTCAGATCACACTTCGGATGCAGGATTTTCATCCGATCGACGCTTTGTGGGCTGAAAAATGCTTGTAGAAGAAGTCAAATAAGGGAGTTCATAGCAGCACCTGGCGGTGGGGTGGTGACTCGGTCTACCCCCCGTGAGCGGTATTTTCCAACCAACCATCCAAACCTTTGGGTGGTGCTGATTGATTTTCGATATCTTTCTCATTACTATAGATAGAGTATTACTATAATTTACTACATATAGCTAGTGTTCTAAGTTCTAGCTACTGCAGCAGATGAGGTTGATCTACCTCTCTAGGGCTCCCAACCCACGCGTCTCCACGCGTCTCCCACGCGTTCTCGGCGCGGAGAGGCGGCATCGATGCTGCGCAGTGCCTACGCCAGCGTGCAACGCGGCAGCCCCCAGCTGAATGAGTTCGCCCGGAGGAGCCGCCGAACAGTCATCCATCCACCTGAAGACCCAACCACCCACCGCTCTTCCGTTGTTGTTCAGCGTCCTAGGCGTTTGCCGTTTCTGGGCGACGCGAGGCGAAAAAATCCTAAGGGAGCTGGAAGAGCCTAGCAAGGTTCTTTTCGACGAGGTCGAGTCCCTTTTGGTGTAATTGAAATCCGATTTCACCCCCAGAGTTAGACGCTCCTCGTGTGTCCTTGGTCTTGAAAAAAGCTGCAGTGCCACAGTGTGCCGGACTCGACTCGGTGGTCTTTCTCATTCTCATCTACCCGGAGTCCGAGTTCACCACCTGTTTGGTCTTCGCTTCTCCGGGGCAACCCCGAGTCCTTGGGACCTATGTCACCATACGTAACGATGATTTCAGGGAGTGTACCTTGAAGGATGGAGCTGGACTACTGCAAAGAGCTGGCGAAGCACCATAGCCTCCTTGCCGAAGAGGTGCCATCTCGAGGGAACGGTTGGGACATGTTGGAAGAATTGAGAATGTGCTTCTAAAAGTTCATCCCATGTTGAAAAAAAATACAACCCTTAGCACCCCTACTCGCGGTTCAGTTGAACTGAACCCCGAGTCATCAAAGCCGACAGGGCAGCTATAAATTGATGATAATTTATCCGTGTGTATTGATCAAGGAAGACCACCCCTCAAGAATGAATCGAACAAAAAGAGGACACACAGTAACACAGTCATGAACAAGTTCACAGGTTTCAGAGCAGATTGCACAAACCCCTCACTTGGGGATTGTGGCATCTACTCTCAATCCACTTATAACAACTTTTGGCATTTCGACATGTCGCAGCTGGCCCGGCCCAGCTTCCTTCGTCGGACAAAACACAGGAGTTGGAGTTCTTGATGGTTCGGCGATGTTCTTGCACTGTGTGCAGTCGTTCCTGATGTTCGGGCCTTTCAACATGTAAATCCAAACAAACAAAAGCAATATATACCTCTGACTATGTATATATGTTCCATCCAATAACCACCCCTTCCGTGGTGCTGGTACCTTTTACATTCATGTTTGTGTTTAAACCATAACGACCAGCTACCGACAGGTGGATCATCCGTTTCATCCCTTTCACACCTTTGGAGTGGACAATCCGAGAAAAGACTGGTGAACAAAAAACGAACGACCTCCAATCTTGGGGTGGATTTCAATTTTTGCCCGTTTTTCTGGCAATCTTTGTTTTTTAAGGAAGGCCCTAAGCAGGACATGAATGTGGTTTGTCAGGTGATGCCAAGCCAAGTCCCCCAATTCCGACCCAGAAAAACCGGAGGATTCTTCAAGATTTTTTCACCCTTCTCGGCCGGAAGCGGGGGAGATGGTGCAGGTGGCCGCTTTCCACAAGCTGCCCAGGCCGGGCTTCTCGGGCCAGGTTTCTTGGTTTTTTCTGCTAGAGGCCGCGAAGGGGCGAGTGATGGTATGTCCAGGTGGACAGCTTTCCTGTGACGGGGTGGGACGGTTCAGGATGGCTTCGATTGGTTTGTTGATTAGAGCTCAGCAAAGTCTCTTTATATGTCTCTCCCCTTTTTTAGCTGACAATAAGAAGCAAAGAAACATACACACACCAGGTTTCTCACGGATTCTCACGGCCTTTCTCCCGTCCTAGTCCTTGGGTCCGTCGGCCGGTGGAATGCGCGCGTCGCGTCGTCGGCAGCTCCGTGGATGACGACGTCTTGCGGCGCTTGGTCTCTGCGCTGCGCCTGCATGAGCTCGTGGCACCCGCATGTGGCGGTGCGACGAGCCTGCGGCGCGTAGGACCAAAGGCGGATGGAGGCCGTTCCGGGGTTCCAAGAGTTGTCAAGTTGTCAGGATGGGTTGGTGAAGGAGAGATAGTTGCTCAAAGAAGTAGCAGAAGAAGAAGAACAAGAAGAAGAAGAGATCGACAGAATCTCTTCAATCTTTTGACCTGTCATTGTGATAGGCAACCATGATAGGGGGACAGGCCACCAGATTTCTGTGGCAAAAGCAGTGACCGGTTACAGCAATATTGGCCTTCGATCTCAATGGCCTTCGCGACTTCTTCTAAGGGCCAAGAGCATGCAAGATTCTTGTAAGGTTTCTAGCGAGGAAACTTGAAAGTCAAGCAACGTGTTCTGATGTATGCCCGGATCTTGATTCTGGTGCTAATAATGCTTGTAATCATAAATAACAACGGCAACATCTTCAGCAGACTTGAAACATCTCTGGATGGCCGGCCGCGGCCGCGGCCGCAGCTTCTGTCTTGCCTTCTGACTCAACCTGTTGGGCAGGCTACGTGGTCTTTGACCAGGGGAATTGGCCCATTTGCAAGAACCTCCTCAGCTACGGCGTCGGGACCAACGTTGACTTTGAATGGGAGCTAGCGCCCCTTGGATGAGAAGCCGTGAACGTAGATGGCGAGCAGATGGCGAGCGAAATCGATCTCCGTTTCCCGAAAAGAGCGAGCGATCTCCGTTTCATGCCACCGAACAAACGGGGGGTTCAACATGGGAGGTCGCATGTTTCTTTTTGGCACCGAAAAAGGCAAGTCGGAGACGTCTGGGTGATTTTCAGGAGAGAGGTCTGGGCATGAGAGAAGTCTTTTTCATCAGCTAGCTGGAATTGCTTGAGTGCTCAAGTTTTCGTCGGCAATGCATGGTGCAAGGAAACGGTGAATTCAGAGAAGGACATCTAAGAGGTCCAAATCCAGTCGATTTGACCCAGTTAGTGGTGAACAGTTCGGTTATACCGGTTAACCGATTAACCTTTCCACTGAAGTTCTTGGAAAAATGCAGGCTTCAACCAAAAAATGAAGTCTTCAGTCCCTGAATCACACGATTTCAACCCAAAAACTATGTTAATTTTCCCAGACACGAACTAGTCCCAGACGGCCCCTGAAGAACAGGATTGCTTCGACCGTCCGAGCCCCGGTGAAAACGGGAGGATTCGACGGACTCGGGTCCGATCCGCCGTGAGTTCCGCCGAAGCGTCCGAGCTTCAGAGTCACTTCCTTTCGGACCACGTGACCTGGACCCCCCAAAAACCATGGTCTGGTGGGTCTGAAGGGACAATGTCACCATGGACCCTTCCGGTGGGTCCTTCCTGTGGGCTGAGCGATGCGAATGAAGCACCGCACCGCGGAAGAGCACACCGCTGAAGCCGCGGAAGCGCCTTGGATCGCGGTGCACCAAGGTCGTCTGGGACCAAGGTCATCCTCTTTGATCACACGGTCCACGGCTTGCCACGGCAGCATCCCAACATCACTTTCGTTCAGGTCGCGTGCAGAGCCGCGCGGTGGTCACGCGATCCAGTCGGCTGTGTGAGTGGTGGGGGTGGGTTCACCGCCGTGCAGTGTAGGGGAGTGCTTGATGCCTGGGACACTGAAGCTTGCAACAATGGATCGCCACAAGGCACAGCAACTATGACACGTCTAGGGATCCACTTCTCACTGAGAAGCCTACATAATAGTCTCCCATCACCTTCTGAGAAGGTACGACTGGATCCCTAGGGACACCAAAGGTATTCCAAATTACAGTTATATAAGATGGACTACGGCTATTGTCCTCAAGAGGTGACTGAAGTAGAAGGGTTGCAGTAGATGGGTTGCAGAAGGACCATGTCAAAAACGTTTGTTTCATCTCTGACACTCCCGGGGTTGGCGTTGAATCCATGCGGGAGTCCATGGCCTTCACCACTCACCACCTACCGAAGCTTAGACACGGTCTGCCCGGAAAGGGCGGATGCTATCCCATCCGCATGACCCTTCATGATGGTTTTCAGGGAGTGCCAGTTGAGACCTGTGTATGGTAAAACTGCCTGGGGCCTGGGGGGACCATTTGAGGTACACTCCCTCAAAGAATCAACAATACGTGGATGGCACCTTTCCGTTTGGAAGTACCACCAGAGGTGACCAGGTGGGTCAGAACCCGAACTAGTATATATATGGTACCCTATTTACGGTCGACATGAACCTCTCTTGGTATGAACTGGAATTGGTGGGTTTGAACCAAATCCTCCTTCCACGTCCATCCGTCCAAATCCTCCTTTGGAACGTCTGGAGGCGGGGCGGAACAGCCGGTGGGCGTTACGTCGACGCCCACGGGGGCGTTCGGTCCGACCTGGCTGAGATCCCATCCAGCCAAGAGAGGTAGCCAGTGTCCTGAACTAGGACCTGTCACCTGGGGTACCCAACTGGGACAGTCTAGTTCGGGTTCTGACCCACCTCTGTTGGAGTGCCCACTCTGGAAACACGACACGTCTGGGACGGCCTTTTTGGACTGCCGATCTGGGTGGCACCACCACGGGGGTCTTTCTGGGGCGGAGTGCTGTCCCAGACAGGTCGTGGATGGAGCGTATGGGGAAGCGCGGAAGCGAAGTCCGAAGCTACGTAGGCTAGGGCTTCCAGCCAGGTGGGGCTCAAAGAACCCTAAACCCTAAACCCTAAACCAGATGTTGGACCCCCCCTTCCAGACGCAGAACTCGGGCGATGCCTTCCATGCCTTCTTCGCCAGGAAGCGCTGTGTGATCGCAGTCTACCAGGCGTCGGCCAGTCGGGTGGTCCTAGAGTTGGAATCACTTGCAGTCGCGGTTCCATTCCTGTGGACCTGCAGATCTTGGCAAAGGCTTTGGCCTTGGTTCTACTTATGAAACCCAACAACTTTTGTGGAGGTTTGCCCAATGAAGTTGCGACACAGAACGATCTCAGGTTGGATGATCTTTTGTAGTGGAAAGTCGATGAGTGAAAATGTGTTGGTTGTGGTATGCGTAGTGAACACACGGTAATTGTCCAGCATACCTGGAACTGGTCTTTATCTACCGAGGTTGCTGATTTAAAACTTCAGACGGGTCCTGTGTGATCCAGCCGTGAGCCGTGTGGGTCGTGTGAGCGGTTTTGTGGATCAGGTGATGATGTAATTTCCCGATCTCAGGGTTTTTCTCCCCTGGCATGGGGAATCATTTTCAAGGTTCTTTCAGCAAATCCAGGTGTAAGAACCAGGGATATCTGGTGTAAGCAGCAAATATCTGTGGTTTCTAGTGGAAAGGTATACATATAGGAATTCTTCTCAGCAAGTGCTGGTTCACGGTTGTCGCTCTCTGAGAAAGATTTCTGGGAACACCTGCCCAGACCCTTTGCTTTTCACCTGACGAAAGGAGACCCGAAAACGTGTGCGAAAACGAGTGCAGGGGCTGGCAACACCTTGTCTGAGCACCTGCGGCTTTGTCATCAAGGCTCCTTGATGTTTCTTGGCAGAGAACCAGAAGACCCGACATAGCCTTAAACCTCTTTTGGTGATTGATTTCCGCACTGAACACGAACAGGTGGAGGGAGTCGCTTCATCCTTTCTGTTTGTGGTGTGGTGAATATCGGCGTTTCTCTTATAAGTTTGTGGACCTAATCCGTTTGCAGCACTGTGTTTTTTTGTCTGGCAAGACGTGTAGGAGCGCGCGCGGCTGGGGCGTCACTTGATGCGCCGTCGCGTCTTCCTGGACGGGTGGACAGACGTCTGTTCGGTTCATAAAGAGCCTTCGTCCGGCGTTCGATGCGGCGCCCGGGACGTGCGTCATACGACCAGGGGCGGTCCGGCGGTGGTCGGCGGTCCGTTCATTCGGTGTAGGACACGACCGACCCGGCCCGACACGTCTGGGACTGCCATGTCGGACTGCCAATCAGGCCAGGGGTGGTGGTTGACTGGGAGGTCTGGCTTGATCGGCAGTCCTATTCCAGTCCCATGGAGCCGTCTGGGTATGATATGTTCATTTGTGGAAGACTAAGTATGGTGTTCATGGGTCAATGACCTTCGATCTTTATACAAGACTATGGTCTTCATGGGTTAATGGCCTTCGTTCCGATGCGAATCGTTTGACTTTTTGCTTTGATCTACAGGCGTTACCGAAGTCAAGGACGATGTGTCCGGTTTCGTTTTGGTCAGCGATGTTGTCGGTGTACAACGAAAAGAACAATCGAGTGACCTCATATATAAATATTGGCTAGGGAAAGCTGGATGTATCATGCCACGCGCAGAGGGATGATACCTTTGGGCCAAAGGAGGTTGTATAATCAAAAAAGGCGTGGAATGGAACGGCCAAGGTTTTCGCGACTGTCAATCAGTTACAAGCTGCGGATGGCCGTCTTGACAAAATAAGGGAACATAAACATACATTTGTTTCAACATAAGGCGACAACAAACGAAAAACACATGTTGAAACAAATGTTGTTTGTTTGTAATTTTGTTTTGTTTTGTTCTTTTGTTTTGTTTGTTTGTTTGTTTGTTTTGTTTGTTTGTTTGGTTTGTTTGGTTTGTTTGGTTTGGTTTGGTTTGGTTTGGTTTGGTTTGGTTTGGTTGGTTGGTTGGTTGGTTGTTGTTGTTGTTGTTGTTGTTGTACAAGTACTAGTACTAGACTAGAGTACTAGTAGTAGAAATAGGAGAAGGAGGAGGAGCAGCAGCAGTGGTAGTAGGGGTAGCTGTAAAAAGTTTTAAACAACCACAGGGGCACAGGATCAAATTAATAGGGGGTAGTAGTGCAGATTATTGAGGGGGGACTGGCCCTTCTGAGGGGTACCCTTTCTGAGCTTCTCTTTAAAAGGACATTTATAGGCCCGGAACCCTAGACATTCTTTAGAATTTCATTCGAAGGTAGGTATATAGGTAGGTAGGTAGGTAGGTAGGTAGGTAGGTAGGTAGGTAGGTAGGGTGGTGGTGGTGATGGTGGTGGTGGTACTAGTAGTGGTGGTAGTAGTAGTATTTCCTAGTAGTAGTAGTAGTAGTAGTAGTAGTAGTAGTAGTAGTAGTAGTGATAGTGGTAGTGGTAGTGGTAGTGGTAGTGGTGGTAGTGGTAAGAGAAAGTCGACCTGGTTGGGCTCGGATTAACAGCGAGGTTTCTAGTGACCAACTGCTTAGTGATTCGGGGAGAAAATAAGCCACCAATACTACTTTTAATTTGGGCAATTTCCGTGGGCTTTGTGGGCTCGGATTAACTAGGGGAGGTTTATTAATAATGACTTTACATTACAGTGCTATCGGCCAGCTGTGCCGCAGACACCGCAAAAAGGTGAAAATATCGGCAACAAGTTTTCAAACAACAAAGCACACAAAACGCTTGAAATTACAAAGCAAGCACCTTTCACACAGGATGAAAGCGCTGCGCTCCTACAGGTGCTCCTACCTTTGGGCGTTTTTCAGAGTCGTTAGATGGCTTGCCGGGAGAAGGTCACAACTGTTATCGTGGTTTCAGTTATATTTTGGACCTTTACTGGACCTTTACTTGATCGAGATGATGGATCCGGCTGACTCATATTTTCAAGTGAGTTGAAAGCACCAACCAGACTTGCCAGGGTTGGGGGAGCGACGGTGCGGGTCGCCGGGGGGTCCACATTCCCCTGGGCCAGCAGGGGGAGCTGGAACGCTCAGCGGCCACCATGCGAGTGTTTTGTTCGCCACTTGCTTAGTCTTCCAACGGATCGCCACTTGCGCGCCTATGCACGAAAAAGAAACTTCAGAAGGGGGGGAAAGACCTTGCCGTCGTGCCTTGACTTGCAAGGACCGGTCCAAACGAACCGCACATCGGACATCGGTGAAGAACGAGGTATTGGTGGACTCGAAACCAACACCCCGGCGGGTGCTACCCACGAGTTCGGAGCTCGGAGCTCAGGTTGAAGATGGACGTGGAGGGGGCAGAGCACCTTGGCCTTCCTGACGTCCATTGCAGAGGGTTTTTTTGGTGTGAAAACCTGTCGGGGCCTGGAGAAGCTTCGCAGCTACAGCACACGCGACTGGTACGTCACAGCCCTGGAGAAGCTGTCTGGGGAGTCAGGGTTTCACGGTCATTCCTATCCCAGACACTCCATGGGACTGCCATTTATGCCTTCGAAACGGCCAGGGGGTGGTGGGTTTGGGGGGTCTGGCGCCAGATCGGCATATATGGCAGTCCCATTAGTCGGTCGTGTCTGGGTATAGTCATTTCTGTGTGATTCCGCGGAACAGTCCAGTTTAGTCCATGTGGGTCTGTCCCAGGTTGGACCTGTAGAGCTGGACCTAGGTTTCACGAGCCGTCCATGGCTCGTCTTCTAGAGATGGCCTGCAGCCTGGCCCCATCATCATCCACCGGGCCCGGGTCGGTGTCTGGGATAGACCCAACCCAGCGGTGATTCCTGTCAAGTTGCTGGCCCGTCTGAGGTTCTCAGCCCTCCTGCCGCTGGGCTAGAAGAAAAAGCATGGGGCCTTGTTTAGGTGTCCCAATTGTGTCCCAAGTGAGGTGCAGAAGTCTTGTTGTTTGTTATTCAAGCGATGCGGACAAAGTTCCATTTTCAGCTGGTAAGTTTGAGCTGTTAAGAGGCATCTATACAATTCTTTTAACATATACCCTACAGATCCAAATACCCACCAAAACCTGGTCCTGAAAATCTCATATCTCCTCGTGCTTTTATATGACCAAACTCCAGTCTTTCTTTCCAACTGACCTGCAGGTAAAATTGTATGAATCATGTTTCCATCATTTTTCCGTAAAACTGTTATTTGACCATCGGTGCTCGGAGTGCCTATAGATCTTCCAGTCCCAGCAGGAATGTTTGGGTCTGGAGTTTCTTTTATAATAGTTACTTTCTTTCTAGGTGCCAGCTTCATCCCTTGGAACCATCTAGTAACTTCAAGAAAGATGCTAGAACAGAAAAAAGAGAGATCTCATGACGATATCTTAAGAAGCGATCTCCATGCTGCTCACCCTTCGAACTTTCCAAGCTGCTCTACTCCGTCAGAGCCAGACCCTCCAAGACCCTCCAAGACAGCTCCTCCGTCCGACGACGCTACACCATGCAGGGCGTCGAAGGAGATCGTGGGCCACTTCGACCAAATCTGCTTAGAGCTGCACTGGCTCGGCCGTCCTCACCGCTCGGCCTCCGCTTTGACCAAGGCGGGTGGTCGAGACTGGGAGACGGTCGAGGTCGTCGTGCTTGGAGTCACATGAGCAGCGGTGGTGTTGAGTCACCTGAGCAGTGCATCCCTATGAAGCGCATGGAGTGCACCCCTCACCCCTTTGGTTCTTCTGCTGGGCTTTGGATGTTTCCAGAATTTGATATGAAGGATCTCGTTATATAGAAACTGACAAAAAAACGTAATGAATCACAACCTATGTCAAAACTTGACCCCCCCTAAGAAGGATCTCCTGAAACTGACAACTCCCGCTGCTAGTGCTTCTTCATGAAGAGAGGGTATAGCCCCCTGACTGGCCCTGTGGCCTTGCCCGGGCTGGTGCCTTTGCCCATGAGCCACCCCGGGCTGGACCACAGAACCGGGTTTCTTGTTACAGGCTGGCAGGCTGGCCATCGTTCTTGTGGGCTTAAGAAGCTTAAGAATGGCTTAAGACGCTCTACTTCCGTGCAAAGCAGTGATATCACGTGTAGAATCGTGTAGATGTGGGATTGCCGAGGTGGTAGGTGGACGAGTAATCACTGCTGCTTCGCTTCCAGTCCTCTGCAGGGTTTTGGGTTCACGTCCAATGTTCAGGCAGCATTGGGATCAGACCCATGCTAGCACTTGATGGAGGTTGGACATAGTGGACCGTGACCAAAGGCCAAGTTGGTCTTTCATTTTGACCAACGGCAGTACGAACCGCCCATCGTCTTGCCTGGAAACCCACGACCCCGAACGTCACGTCTCGCCTGCACGAGCGGATAGAAAGATCGACCATGGAGGGGCTGGAGATTTTACCACTCCACCCAGACGCTCCTGACCCCTCATATGCAGGGGTCGGACCCTCATATGGAGGGGTCTGGACCCTCAAATCCCTATGGTTTTGAGGGACCAGTCGGGCTGTTTGGAGCGTCTGGGCAGATGAAAAAACATGTGGTGAGGCGCTGGCTTTGGAGCTGCTCCAGGAGCACTTTGTCTTGCTCCATGCGCATGGCAACAGCTGCTGGGTCGCACGACCGCCACACCGCCGACCAGATGGTGAGTCGTGTGGTACCCAGATGGTTCTGGAATTTCTGCCTGATTCATGTGGTGAAACCTCAACCTTTACTTGAGATAATTGATCCCTATTCATGACATCTATTCTTTTATGTTTGTGAGTGGTTAAACCACAAGTTTTTTCTGGTCTTGGTGGTTTCCTTAGGTTTAAACAATGACATTCTGCATGCGTGGAAGGAAGGCCAGTGAAACAAGAACACCATTGACACGAACACGTTTTGGATACGGGTGTGTTGCACCCAAAGAAGAGAGAATTCTCGACTCCTGGAGCTGAAGAAGTTACCGGAAAATCCCGTGCACGAGAGTTTGGTGGACATGGATGTGTATCTAAAATAGGGAGACCTCCCAGTTCGATCCCCTGCAAACAAATTAAATAGGCAAAAAAACATTGGTTGGGGGTCTCCCTATTAAAATAAAGAAAAGTACCCCCCCCCCATATCCTTGATGGCGCTAACTCGCCATTGTTGACCAATAGCGCTACATGCCACAACTCTAACACCCTCTCTGAAGGTTGCCATGGTTTTGATCTTTGTATATACTAAACGGGTGATGACATGGGATTTGGGTAAACACACATAGGCACTCACACAGTACTAGTATAGGTCAATTATTAGGTGTTGCAGGATAATGCTGACATAGCAAACGACCATGGTGCCGTATCGGTCAAAGGTTTTGTTCCGCTCCTGTTCCTTCCGCAGAAACGGGTCCATGTTCCACCCGGGTGGTCAGACCGAGCTGAAGCTGATGCCATGGAGGCTGGAAGACTAGGAATTCCGTACAGCGGTGCACCAGCGGTTTTCAGGTTCGGCCCAACCGGGGCGTCCAACCGGGTGGGGCCCAACGTCGGGCGGACCGGCCAGACCGTTGGGCGGACCGGGCGCTGGTTTACAGAGTCTTCCGTGGATCTATGTCGACACTTTCGGCCAGGGATGGTTGAGAAGTCAGGGGTCAATTGACCTACTGGGTACCATCATGTATATATAGGTATACCGGTCGGGCCTGAGTGACAGTCCCCTGTTTGGGAGGATCTATACCCCAAATATGGTCTTTTCGAACGAAGGAGGTCGCATGCGTTCGCATATTTGGATATGCCAGTCCCATGAATGCCTGGAGTTAGCTGTCTCATGGCTCAACATGTCTGTGACCGTTGCATGTTCTCCCGTATAACCGTCTAAACGCGCTTCACAAACATCCGGACGGCCGGAGCTTACGCGTCGCGTCTTCACTCACCGGCGGAAAGCCCGGTCAGGTTATGGGGACGTCATGGAGGTAGCAGGCTGCCTCATCCCTGACGTCCCTCGCTGCGAACCGGTGGGGGGACGGAACCGTGGTGGCGACCGTGGAGAGCCGATCGTCCGGCCACCGGCAACCTGAGCCAAGTGACGGGATCGATCTTGTCCGGTGGGTGATGAGGTACTGGAATCCAGCTGAACTACAGAATCCTTGGCCCAATCCCTGCATCATAAGCTCTGTATATGAGCCATTCTGCCACTCTTTGGTGAACCTGTACGAGACTTAGGGTTCCCAACCCTTCGCCCAATCGCGCTACTGCGCAAGTGGCGCTCACCTCTAAGTTGCGCTGCCGAACACCACTCACCTCCCATCATCAGCTCGGAAAACTGAGCTATACTCCGCTGAGCAAAAACGACCACTGTTTTGGAACCCAAAACATGGTCAAACTTCCTCTCAGAACAGAGATCAGACGTCTGGGTTCTAGTATGTTGGCGGCATGACCTCTGCATCGGCCCGAGGTTCTTGAGGTGCTTTATGTGAATCGGAGGCTCTTAAGCCCCACGCAGTTTCGGCCCAATGCCGCTCGGCGGGACGTGCGCGTTGGGCCGAACCGGGTGTCATCACCCCAGGCCTCGGATAGGCTCGGTGGGCTGGGCAAGATGCCCAGCAGCTTTTGGGGTGGATTCATATATATATATATATATTCTATCGCATTCATATATATGGTTCATGTTCCCAGACACCTTTCACTCTTTAGATATGATGGGAAGATAAAACATCTGAAAGAAAAAACACTGGTTAACAAACAACACGTAGACTACTAAACAGTTGAAGCTTTCGGTCCAGGTAAACACGCAGCTCTGTGAGCAGATGGGGATCTCACCTCATCTCACTGAACAAAAACATTATCTTCGAGGACCTTCGAAATGACCTTTTGAGATCCTAGAATGAGGTCACTTAGTCCCTAAAGAGGTCACTTAGAGACTCCAAAGAGGTCACTTTGGATCAGTTTCATCTCAGCACCCGACATTTGCGACATTGTCCTGACTGGTCCAGACATCTTGTGTGATGCTGCGACGTTTACATGGCAAACAAGACCCACATCGTTCGGAAGAGGGGCTGGAAATTCAATTCGGGAGAGTGAGAATCCATATGCAACCCACATCAACCCACCATATATATATATATGTATCCATATCTTACTATGACCTGCATTGGCCATCATGGGCCTATTTTTGAGGTTTCCGTTCCTATTTCCAGGACTATTTCAAGCAAGACCCCTGTGGCCCTGCGACCAAAAGAGACGGCTCGACGTCACCTCAGAGGCTCCTCCAGTCGAACTCGCACGACCTGCGGTGCTTGTGCATTCAACGGCGCGGCCCAAGAGAAAGGCCTTTTGCCCAACGACGTTTTAGACGCCAACAACTGTCCCTTTACGTGCCTGGGCGTAGGTAGCTGTGGGGAGGGCCGGCCCGGAGGCGTTTGGAACCCGGCCTAATATCTCCTCGACGTAGATCTCACCGCGTTCCAAAAGCTCACTCCAAAGGAACGCGGGACCAGTGGTTTCCGATGACGTGTGTGGAAACGGTTGGAACCTGGGCCTTTGCAGAAGTGGATCAGCTTTAATAACACACGGCTTTACATTCCCCACTTAAACAAGAAGAGGTGGAAAAAGGTTATATATAATATATATATCCTGGACCCTCAAGAGTTTACTAATTTTTGAACTGTTGGGTTTGTGAACGCAAAAGGACGCAAAAAACCGCAAACCTTGAAAAGTGGGCTGAATGTCCCAGTTGGTCCAAACGTGAAGAAATCACCCAGTGGAGGACAAGATCATATATCAAGAGCAGATTCTTCACCACTTCATGCTTGGCTTTAAGATACGCATGATCTCCATTGTACAATCACCTCTTAAGAAACACGATCGACTGTAGATGTGCAAATCCATGTTTATCAATTCCTTTTACACATGTCCATCCTGTCACAGATTTTGACACCTAACTTGTTGTTTTTGTGGCATAATTATTTACATCCATCATGATCTGTCAATGAGCTGCCAAATGAAACCCCACATGCCATATGCATGTGTTTTGGTGTGGATTCAATACTAATGAATTCAATATATTTCATACGTCACAACCACAAAAGAAGCGTATGCAAATATCCGCAAAGAATATGCAAATATCCGCAAAAAGTACGCAAAACCTCGCAAGAGTGCACAAAGTGGGAATTCTTTGCAGTTTCAAACTTAGCCATGTGGTGGCCTACCATCATGAGAAGATTTGACCTGGAGCTCGTGGGACGGAGCAAACTAGTGTGAATGCTTGCCACATATGGCAATCTCTAAGTTTCACCATATCCTGTAGGTTGACAAGTACCTAGGGTGGCACTCGGCTAGAAGTGTACTACACACTCAAAGAGCCAAAGTCATGAAATTGTATCATACAACTCTTGATCAACTCCTCGTATGGCTCAAAGATTCGTACATAGGTGATCATGCACCAAGCATAGATGTGCTTGTTGGTGGGAGTCATTTAAGAAAGCGTCCAGTTTTGCTTTGGAGTGTTCAGTTTTGGCTTGAATCGTTTAGATTGGCATTGAAGTGTTCCAAACGGCCCAAAAGGATAGAAATTCCAAACGTAAAGATATTATTGCACTTTCAAGGGTTCAGGATATATATATATATATATGATAACCACCGAAAATACATTATCCCAATCTTGAAGCACATCATGTAGAGTGGCACTCCAAGTTTTTCCCCACCTATGCTCCAAAACGCTTGGGGGTCAGTTTTAACGCGACCGGCCGAAGTCGGTGGCAGCGATGGCCTCCAACCTATAGGATTTTCTCATGCCTCCAGTCAAAACTTCATGAAGCTTGGAAAAGGCCTGCTTTTCTTCGTATACGGCCTTCTTTTCCTACTTCTGCCTTTGTTTCATGTTTTTGTCTTCAAAGACGGGGCCACCCTGCTAATTGTAACGTTCTTGGCCTGTTCCTCCCATCGCCCTGCATAGTACGTCGGTCCAACCATCGGGGTCCCTGGAAGCACCAGTCACATCACTGCACGGATTTGGAGTCTAAAACATCACCCATCACCCATCTGGGACTGTCATAATTGCCTACATCAGGCCAGGGGTGGTTGATGTCAGGAGTCCATCTTTTTTTCTATGCCAGGTCTCATGAGTGTTTGGGAAATCGACCAGTTTTCATCCACAAACAGACATGCTACACCACCCTGCAGTGGCACTGCCTGCAATAGCGAGATTCTTCGCTCACGCTCACCCAGTTCTCGCTTTTCCTATTACATCCCATAATTACCCTACTTACGGAGTCACAAGACGGTGTTCCGAACTTGGAGGATAGGAGTCCCCATGTGACGAGGCAAACCCACGTCCCGTCGCCGGACGGGGGCACCCGGATCGGCGGAACGGAACGGACTCGGAGATGATCACCGCTTTTCTTTCCAAACCAAAAACATTCCCAGACACGACCAGTCTGGGACTGCCGTAGGACGGACTGCCTTCAAAACGGCCGAGAAACGGCTGGGGGTGGTGCTTTTGGGGGGTCTGGCTGTTTCTCGGCAGTCCGACATGGCAGTCCCATGGAGTGTCTGGCATTGTCTAAAAACTCCCAGGGAGGATTTAGGGGACTGATCACAGGCCCTAGGATTCCATGAACCATTGATTTATTGGTCACCAAAGAACCATTGTTTTACTAAAGGTTTTTACACGGCAAAACCAGGTCAACCCTTTGTTTTTTTTATCCTTTTTTAAATGGTCTTTTTTCAGAGTCCTCGTTCGGGACATCGCTCTTCACCACCGACACTTCCGCGAACCTCGCACCGCACCCACTTCAGCGACTCTTCGAGGCCGGACATCGCCCTCATTGGCGCTCCCTTCGGCGCGGAGATGCCGGCATCGCCCGACGGAGCCAAAACAGGGTCGACGGCGGACTCGCGCCGACTCGCGCCGCGCCTTCTCCGGGTGCCACACCGGTCGCCGGTCACCGTTGCGGTGGGAGCCACGGGCTCATACTCGGCTCGGTGGGCGTTTGGACCCGATGTTCTTGAGCTGGGTCGGGTGGGTTTTGGGCACTCGAAAGAAGGTATAGATGGCGCACCCCCCCCCTGTGAATACCAGGGTAGGTTGACCTCCCAGGTAGTCTAGAATTCGATTCATTTCTGTTCATTCTTGGTGGTCAACGGTGTCCATGTGTTGAACGAAAGCCGCCAGATGAATCAAGTTGTTGACCCACCATGCGAGCATCGCGTTCTCCACAGACACTCCAACTTCTGACCTTTTGATGTTTCAGCCCATCATCAACTCTTGAACAATATTCATCTTTGTTGATGAACAACACAACATATTCATGTTGATTGACGGCTTTGCAATGTTTTACTTTTGTCTTTGTAATACACCCCAGAAACCATAAAAACTTGGCCCAGATGAAGGAAAGGATGTTCCCTTTCAGATACCCTAAAGAGACCATTCTTTCTAAATCGTCCTTGACTCCCAGGGTATATCTTCGTTAGTATCTTCGTTTGGAATTACGCGTCAACGCTCCCTCTCGCCGGCCGTCAGTTCCCAGCTCCCTCTCGGCCCTGAAACTCCATGTCTCGATTCAACCGGCGCCAGGCACCTTACGTGTGGCCTGTGAGGCCCGCGATGGCTCCTGGGGCATCGCCCAGCGCGGCCTGGGGGGGGTGTCTTGGCAGCGACGTCCGTCTGGGACACGACTCATGGGATATATGGAAGCTATGGAAGATATGGGTACTGTACTGTATATTATAATAGTTCGACTATCCCAGTTGGGTGCCCCAGGTATCCCCAGGTCCTATGAAACCGGTTCGACTATCAACCTCTCTCGGTACGATCCATTTTCAACCTCCGGCGTTGCCGGGGATGGAGAGGTTTTGTCGGGTTCATGTCGACAATGATGTCAAACTACCAGACGGGTTTGATGAAAACAAAACACCTACCAGATGAGGTGCGATGTCCACTACTGGAGTTTGTTTTTTGCTTTTTTTATGTTTTTGTTTCAATCGTTTGGATTTATGCGGGTTTGTGTCAGGGCATTAGGGGCTTTTGTTGCCCCACTGGGTGTTGGTCCAATATTACTCTTCCATGGAGTCTAACAGAGGGGGTCCTCAATTTTAAAACACACCCATGTGGGCCCATGTGTCTATCAACCATGCAAGTTGGATGTGATTGTTTGCGGATGTGTTCTTTTTTTGACGTGGGCTGTCAATCAAACTCCGAACAGGCATGTATTTTGGTTGGTGCTAGGAAGCACGCCACAACTCTTCTGTGCGAATCCTTAGTGGTCTGTAACATGTGGCTTTATTTTGAATCACCTCGTTTGTTGTATCATGTTGTATCCATAACCTGTAGTCACCCCAATGTACGTACTGTAATTATGCCATACATGGAGCGTTTGGGAAGTTTTTCTTCGTTGACTTTGTGTTAGATGTCGGTGTGTGCTTGGAGGGCTTCCCTCCAAAACATGAGAGGTCACACGCCCGGCAGCTGGGAGTTCTGGGGAAACATGAGTGCCTTCAATGCCTTCCAAAACCATCGAAATGCACTGCCCGATGGCACTCCCAAGCAGCGCCTGAAGGCACCGCGTTTTGTCAGGTTCATGACAGACGTTGAAGGCAAACTTTACGAAGATTTCCTTCAGGCGCAGTCGGCCAAGCACTGCAGGTCATGGGGGTCAGGCACAGACAATGAGAAGAGCGACATCAGCAAAGTATGGAATGTTTCTTCGAGAACATGCGTACAATTATGCACGAGCTCATTGCAGTTCAACACGAGCTTTGGGCAGCCAGTTTTCAGAGCTTTTACACAGCGGGTTCTTTTCGGTCGTGCGATCTTCAGCGCATCATTTTGTCGCATGTTTGCAGTCAGGCTGCAGTTGTTTTTGTTTCCTGAATTGGACATGTGTGACCATTCAAGGATTGGATGTAGCAGCTCAAACTGTGATCCTCGAATCACTAAAACTGCTTTGTGAAAGACAATATGTGTAGCTTCGCAAGTTCGACTTCAATGCCAGCAGTTCCATGTCAGGCTGTCAAACTCGGATGGTTCGAGGGTGTCCAAAACACCTCACATCTCCACTGCCCTGGGACTCAATTCAATGACCACCTCACTCCGAACGAAAGTGATTTGTGATGACGAAAGTATTCAACTCGAGTATGACAACGTATTTGCATGAGTGATCATTCATCATGGAATATCCTGGGTTCTTTTCGTTTCATCTAGTCTCCCGATATACCGTGGTGACCTTTTGATACCGGAAGACGTGGCCTCCATTTCGGAAGACCCTGAAGTTTCGGAAGACCAAACAGGGGGGCGTTCACTCCACGTAACCATACAGGGAGAGTATTCAGAATCTGCCCCCTGAATCAGGCCCCTGATGACTACACCATGATTCATCCTCTATTCTGATTTGGCTGTGGGTCAAATCACGGTGGACGAAGGGGTGAAGCGAATCGGCGATCCTACAGGACAAGGGTTTAGGTCTCCCTGTTTTGACCCACAGCCATGGGTTGATAAATCCACATGTCACAAGTGACTGAGAAGATCTGAACTATCGGGCGGCCGCGCGGTGAGAACTTCCGGCCATGTCGGCATACCCTGGTGGGAAAAGCGACGAAAAGCTCATGGAGATTCATGTGGCTGGTGTCTTGGTGATGTAAGATCGTGTAAGATCTACTACATGTTGACGAATCGTTTGCTTCCATCCTCCGGAATCATGTGTCATGACTGTTAAAGAAACATGGTTTCCACCCAAATTTGCATGATTTTGCTTAAAGAGGAGCATCTCCATGGAGTTTATCTGAGTGGGACGTGCTACGGGGTGCTTCGGACGATTCCAAGCGCTCCAGGCGTAGATGCCGCCCCATGGACCCTTGTAACCACCCCTGGCCGTTTCTCGGAAGTCCGGCAGTCTCGGACACGTGTCTCAGACACGTTGTAACCGATTTTCTTGGAAAGGGACGGTGAAAGCGACAAGCGACAGTGATTAGAAAAAGTCTTTGCCAGAAACCATGCCAGTCTTCATTTGTGTGATGTTTTTCATGGTTAAATCCACACGTTTTCATGTTGTTTTCTCTTGTTGTCCAACGAGTTGGTCCATTTCTGCTCCATGACATGCTCCCCTCTGAGCCGAGCCATTTCGACAGAACCTCTGACAGCGTTTTCCGCGGGGCCCGGCTTCTTTCCAGCAGGTCACGCGGCCGTGGCTGTTTCCCCTGGTTATGCTTACCCTAGGCTTCCAACAAGCATTAATTTAATAGGCTGAATCCCGAATCAACTAAGGATTTTACGCTACAAAAACCAGGTCGTTCCCACTTTTTAAATGGTCGCACGGAAGCCTAGGGCTTAGGATGATTCATTCTTTCCCTACTGTGGGAGGTCCTGTTGCAATTCCTGGGAATCTTTTTCCAGCAAGGTGTTGGACTGCGCTCTCCAAGTGATGGTGGTTCTGTCCAGAACATCATTTAAGAATATTTAAGAAAAATAAGATCCCCAGACACAATTTGACTGCCACATATGCCGACCCCGAAAACCACCCCTGGCCGTTTCTCGGCAGTCCGACATGGCAGTCCCAGACTGGTCGCGTCTGGGATCAGACATCCCCGTCCCAGCGCGTGTCTTGTCTACACACGGCGACTGAGGTCCGACTCAGGAGGTTGGACGCCAATGGGGTTGGGCCCAGGGGGTCCACCCACTTGGATCAAAAAACCTCAGTGCCAACCTTGGGAGTTTGCACCTCATGCCAGCACCCAGAGTCTGCTCACCCCAAAATACACCAAAATGATATCAAATGACTCTCTTAGACTGACCTCTCCAGCAGACCAACCTACCCAGCGACCAACCATCAGCAACCTGTTCCCCTTTCTTCCGTTCCGCAAGGATTGCAGGGCGAAGAGCTCGTGATCCAAGTGCCGAATATTATCACTGGCCGTGAGCTACGGCACAGGGTCTCCGCACGGCTACCAGCTCGAGCCGCTGCTGGAGTTGTTCTACAGAGAGGATGTGAAGTGCTTCAGATGGAGAGCCTTCAGGAGCTCAACTGCTGGTGGACGACCCTTTTTCGCAGGGTTCCTGGGTCAACTGATGGGAGTGTCCATAGTTTTAGAGAGAGGACATTGTGCTTTCAGACAGTTTGCTTTCTCCTGAAGACAAGCCAGTTTAAATTAATTCCAACCAATTGGCAGGGAACAATCTTCAAGTTTATTCAGAAAGTGAGCCAAACATGATGCAGTAGGTTCGCAAGCAGGGGGGATGCCCATGCTTTGTGGTTTGTTTTATGTAATTTAGGCGGTGCCACAGAAACTAAACCTACGTGATTCTGCACACTACAGCATACTAAACCTAGTCTCATGCAGTTTCGCGAGGAATGGGATGTCAGTAGACAGTCAGACAGTCAGACAGTTGTTCGATCCAGCATACCGAGATTCTATCAGAAAAAGAGCCAACAATGACACCCTCTTTGCTCAGACCTCGACCCGAAACACTGGTTCTAGGACTCACGGGTCAGCAGGGGCTCCAGTTGCAGGTGTTTGGCACCCGCAGCCCAGTCACTCCCTTCATGTTTCGAACAATTGTTCTACACACTGTTCAATAAAGTTATGAAAGCACATTAAAGCTGCAGAACATGTTGGAGGGTCCAATTCGCTTTGTGCGCGGGAACCCACGTCCCCACCTGTGATGGTCTTTCAAAACCGGAAGGAGCAACTTGATCAGGGAAGGAGCTCGGAGCCATGGTCCTACTTGTACACTGCGACCTCCCTGAAAGACGCCTTGAACGCCCTCAAAGGTGATTCATTAGATCCGGGATATGCCCTAGAAGGAGTCACCCAAGTGGAAGGAGTGAGTAGTGCAAAGCTACTCCAGGCACTTCCGGAGACGCTGCGAAGCCTGAGCTTTCGGATGACCTTCAACGAGAGTTTGAGGGCGGAGACGTTTCCGCGTGACCTTGAGCGCATGAGCTTTGGTCATGCTTTCAACCAACCGTTGATTGCAATGGACTTGGCGAAGAATTTGAGTAAGCTTCAAAGCTTGACCTTCGGGCATAGCTTTAATCAGAGTGTGGCGGACCTGTGTTGGCCGAGCAGTCTTCAAAGTCTCACGTCTTGGCTTGCTTTGACTAAGGCCACTTAGGTCATTTTGCCGTGCGGTGACGCGCGGCTCGCACTGGCTACTCTCCATGTATGTCTTCGGCAATGATGGTGATAGTCATCGTCTATACGCTCTTTTTTTAAAGTCTCACGTTCGGGAACGACTTCGATCAAAGCTTAGCTAGAGTTGCTTGGCCCAGGGGCCTGTTGAGCTTGAAATTTGGGAATAGCTTCAGTCAGAGCTTGACAGGTGTGGCTTTGCCCAGCAGCCTGCAGAGTTTGACGTTTGGTCTTAGTTTCAATAGCAGTTTGGAGAATATCGCTTTGCCTCCGGACCTTCAAAGCTTGACCTTCGGGCATAGCTTCAACCAAAGTTTGCTTGGAGTTGTCTTGCCAGCCGCCCTTCAGCATCTGACGTTTGGCTTTGGTTTCAACCAGAGCTTCATCGGGGTCATTTTGCCGAGCAGACTTGAGACCCTAACATTTGGCGAGTGCTTCGACCAGCCTTTGGAGAGAATGCCTTGGCCGGAAAGCCTCCGGTCTTTACTGGTTGGTCGTTGCTTTAGCCAGAATTGGTCGTCAGTGGCTTTGCCCAGCAGCCTTCAAAGTCTAACAGTTGATTCTCTCTTCAACCAGAGCTTTGAAGAAATGGCCTGGCCGAGCAACCTTCAGCACTTGGCTTTTGGATTTGATTTAGGCCAGAGTTTCGATGGAGCAGCTTTGCCGGACAGCCTGGAGAGCTTGGTGTTTGCGCAATTCTTCAACAAGAGCTTGGCAGGATTTAAGTGGCCAAGCTGCTTGCAGAGTCTGAAGCTGGGAGATGGATTCAACCAGAGCTTGGCGGAAGTGGCGCTGCCTCGGAGCCTGAAGAGGCTGAGCTTCGGAAATGGCTTCAACCAGCCTTTGGTCGGTGTGACTTTCCCTCCGAGGCTGGAGTGCTTGACATTTGCCACCGGCTTCAACCAGAGCTTGCGAGGAGTGCAGTTCCCCGATGGCCTCAAGAGTGTGACTTTTGGCCACAGCTTTGATCAATGGCTGGCAGATGCGGCATGGCCGAGTGGCCTCGAACGATTGTGCCTTGGAGACAACTTTAACCAGAGCCTGGTCGCAGTGTCCTGGCCGCCGAGCTTGGAGAGTCTCACGTTCGGGCACAGCTTCAATCAGAGATTGGTGGAGGCGAAGTGGCATGTGGATTGGCCAAGCGGGCTTAAGAGTCTGGCTTTTGGGAACAGCTTCAATCAGAGCTTGGCCGGCGTGATTTGGCCTAGTGGTCTGCAGATTTTGGCATTTGGCCATAGCTTTCAGCAGAGCTTGGACGGTGTAGCTTTGCCTAGCAGTCTTCAGACTTTGACATTAGGTGGAGAATTCAACTCTGATTTAGCTGGAGTGTCTTTGCCCAACCTTCGAAGGCTCGCTTGGGCGGATCTGGTCTTGAGCACAGAGTAGTTCGATCCTTGTTGGTCCAAAAAAAGTGCCTTCACATGATTCGACCTTCAGTCTACAGTTTCGTGCGTGTTGGTCTGAGGGTGCGAACGCAACCGCAAGCGCGGATTGGGCCGGAAAATTTGGAAGGACGGACGAACCGTGCATGTGGACAACACCGCCCTGTCATAGACAAGGATTGTCTATGCAGGGCCCATCGACCATCAACACCCATAGGATGAACACGCCAACCATAGAGAGAGGGTGTACAAAGAGAATCAAAGAGGGTTTCTTGTTTCCAATGTGTCTCCGTCATTTGAAACCGGCTGGCGAGGTCAGGCGGAACTAAATGGAGCAGATCTTGGTGGACATGGTTTTCACATCAAAGTATTGCTGATACGGGTTTGTACCTTGGTAGAGGACCTCCCAACTAAAGGGTTCAGTCTCAGATTTTCCCAGGGGTCAGAAGAGGGGTAAGTCACTTGAGCAGCAGTCAATGGCACCTTGACCCTTCCACCGGCTGCGTCTGCCAGTGCAAGCGTTCGCACCCCAATGGCGACATGCGCGGGCAAGAGGCGGGTGCTGCGGCCAGGGACACTGGAAGTTGAAGCGCAAACATGAACACCAAGCGTGCAACGTGTAGGGTCTGCTTCCTTCAACGAATCATGCTTTGATGGCTGGAGGGCAATGCGGCAATGGGTGTCCATGATCCCCTCACTTACTGTGGACTCACCAGTGAAGAAAACATCCATGAACTGGTTCACAACCCGAATGTTACAGTAGGGTCTAAGAGTGTTCCCTTTCGCGATGAGTGAAAGATATTCTGTGTTTTCTTGTGGCTACTTCTGGATGGGTGCTTGTGGTAGGAAGTCTCCAGTTTGGAAACATAGCCTTTTGAAACCCCAGAAGCGTGAACCTGTTCCTCAAAACCTCTTCTCGAGCGAGAGAAATGGCCAAACTTGTTCCACTGGGCAGGACAGGTGGCTGACATTGGAAAAGATCAGAGGTCCGTTCATGATAGTTCAATTGTTCTGTCAATTTGAAATCATTCCAATTCAATTGCAGAGTTTGACCCCATCCCTGCCTTCACTCCACAACGGGCTGGACATCAGTGCAGATGTCTTGGTACTGCAAAAGAATTGAATGCCAAAGTTTTCAGGTTTGTACCCAAATTGAGAGTACTAGATGTTCCTGGTTTGTATTGAAGGGCCTCATAATATAATCCGTGTTTTTATATTTTGCAGTGAAGGCCATTGTGTTTGGACGAGATCTCACACTTACCCTTCAGGTGGTATGGAAACCGAGCAGGCGATGCGTGCCTGGATGCTGAGTGAAAACGCTCAACGTGTCATTGGTCTTGGTTTGGTGAGTTGTGTTTTTGTAGAACATGTTCATTTTGTCGATCTCATGCATATATATCGTATATATGTTCTTTGACATTGAAGATATCGGCAGGCAACTTCTTCAGTTTGAAAACAAATACTGTTTGACATTGGATTGAAAGGTTCAAACAACATGCTTCTGCGGATTTTACCCGACACAAAAAAAACACCGAACATGCGATTGAACAAAAACAAGAGTTCTGGCAGTGTTTCGGTTATTTCTGGATCGGAAGACGATTCATGCCATTGATCGTGCTCTTCGTGGTTCCACCGTTTCTCACCGTGCGGACCACGTCCATTCATGGTGTTTGGTCGCGAGTCGTTGACGTGATTAATCTAATATTTATGTTATGTATACAACATACATATATATATATATATATGTAGAACCTGATTGACCATTGTCTTGGAGCCAAACCATTGTTTTTGTCCGATCAAAACAGAGTTCATGCCTGGGTTTTCAGGCATTTATGATACACATTATGTTTACAGGTTTTCGGAAACCGGTGTGGCCTCTGCCATGCATTCATGCGGGTCCATGGATCTTCCAAGGATTTGTTCATAGTTTTTGTCATATTGTGGCTTTGCATGGATCTTCCATTTGTCACGTGATGCCAACAGAGGTGGGTCAGAACCCGACTCGACTATCCCAGTTGGGTACCCCAGGTCGCTCGGGTCCTATGAAACCGCTCACTCAGTCTCCCTCGGTGTCTTCCCTCTCCAAGGCCCGGCCCTGTGCCCACCGAGCCCGACAAGATCAGCGCATGGCCGCCCTGGGTGCCTCCGTGGCCCGGCGAGTTGGGCGCGTCTTGAAGACCGTTGGTTCCTTTCCAACAGAGGCTGAAGAACCCTATAGACTATCCCAGTTGGGTACCCCAGTCGGGTCCTATCAGGTCTTGGATTTGGGGTGACGGAGTGGTTTGGGGTGTGCAGCATTGACGATATGGAAGAGATAACTCTGAATGGGTCTTTCCCAGACTCTTTTTGTAATACTGTATGTATATATGCTCACGTTGATCGCTTTTCACATACGCCAATGTAGATAAACACCTCGCGCGATTGCTTGGTCCCGAAACGGAGAAGATGTTTTCAGGATCTGCTCGAACACCATCGCCACTCGGCGCGGCCTTTGGGAGACCATCCGCTTAAGCTTTCATGCGGTCTAAAAATACTACTTGTGCGGACCCTGCTTAGCTAAGCTTGGCTAAGCCTAGCTTTGACTTATAAGGGTTAGTAGAGCAGGTCCGCGCAGTAGTTTTCTGGGAGTCGAAGACGATCAAAGGAATGGTCTTTAGGTGACCCGACTTCAGGCATTTCCCTTATTTCAGTCCGTCCACGTCGAACTGGACTTCGACAGGGTATTCAGACACGTCTTTCACCGACCCCCCCCGCGCGGTCCGAGGAAAGGCACCTGGGTCCCGCGTCCCGAACGGAAGCACAGCGAGGACAAGTACGATGCCAAGGACAGCCGGAAAGGAAGGGGGGGACAGATGAGCAGCTGTCGGGTGGTTGATAGACCCTCTTAGACCAGTCCCTATACCCTATGTTCCAATAATCCTTCGATCTAGGTGATGGTGGTATAGACCAGACATACAGGCCGGTGATGTAAATACAGGGTAACAAAAAATGCAAATCTGTCCTATAGGGCTATAGATCCGTCGAAAGATTCTGCCTACGTGTTGATCTTTCTTTTCGACATGGGTTACGTCCTTTTCCTCGGAACAGATATAATAAGTACAATGGTTTCAGGGCAGACGGCACTGGCACCCCCACGTGTTTTTTATACGGGGTCCATATAAACCACCTTTTGGATTCTTTGGGGATTGTGCCATCTACTCTGAAACCACTGTAACCCTTTCCTGGTGTCAAAACCCCTTGGACTCCCCACAAACTCCAGCTCTCGGCTTTTCGCCTGAAGATCGAAGAAAAGTGCTCCAAACTCAAGGGATGAAATGTTCAGACTGTCAACCTGCAATTCGTGATTTTCATGTTGGTACGGTTCAATGACAAGTATCAATGTACTGTAAAGGTGACCATGAAGACCATCCACATCTTGATCTGATAAAGATGGGTGTGTTTTTAAAGTGGAGATTTTTTTCCAGCGTATTCCCAACCAATGAATGTGTCTTTTGGATTCTTTTGGCCATATGTTCTTTCCACCGGATCTAATAGGGGGTCTCCGTCTCAAAAGACACACCCAAATTTGGTGTCTTCCTTCTTCATGATCAGATTCATTGTTGACATGTATGCGCAGACAGGTTGACGCCTTTGCGCACAACTTCATGCAGCAGATGCGGAGGAGGCCAAATCATCGCTTCCGAAGGGTTCAGCTCGGCCTTTAATCGTTCCTGGGACATGAACCCTCATGAGTTGGAGAGAGCTTCTGCTTCTTCTTCTTCTTTTTTGTTTTCTTCTTCATTCGCCATGTGATAGATGTTGACAGTTGATTCATACATCAATCCCCTGATCTTCAGAATGGCTTTACATCTTCATATATTGGCAAGTTGAATGAATCGCAGTCAACATGACATGACAATCTGCGAACGAAGAACACAATTCCTTGGATTATGCTTTTTGTTGCTCTCACAAAGCCGAGGAAATTGGACGGAATTGGAGCACCTAGATGTGCTGACAGGTGAACCCTACTCAGATTTCGGAAAGGCATGGGTTGATAGGTGTGGTTTTCCAAGAAACAACAAAAGATATAGACAGATCATAGATCTTGTCCTGAACATCAGTCGTTTTCAGTTCTTTTGAAGAACACATAAGTTACCTCCACCTAGTAGCTTCTTGTTACGAGTAGCGATTTATTTGGGTTCCTAGTAGCGATGCAAGGAGCCCCCCTGGTAGCTTCTGTTACTAGTAAGCCCAGGAGCGCCCCGTTCGTCGAGTCCGATCGCTCCGTTCGACGGCGACAAGTCTGTCGTTCAGACGGCTTTCCGAGATGGGCTGGACGGTGTCCGTCGGTGGGACACGTTGGGGAGCGTGGGTGAAAAGGCTCAGATCTGATCTTTTGCACAATTTTTTAATGAACAGCCGCAGAAGATTTGAAACGAATTTGCGAAGCATGAGACTTCGGATGTGCCGTCGGGTTTGCTGCTGGCTTCACCAGTTGTGAGAACAAGCACAATAGCAACTTTTAGTACGGTCGAAGTTTGCATTCAGAAGACCCCGTTTTTGCGGTAGAGTCAATGTTTGTTTATAAATTGTTTCTTGACGCAACGACCAGCCATTTGATGAAACATGCAGGAACATCCGATGTGATGAATTGTTTCAATATATACTCCAGATTGATCTTCTCCTTTTTTTCGATTTCACAAGTGCCGATCGGTGGGCTTTTGAATTCACAAGCACCAGCCAGAGGGTGTCCAATCAAGATGTAGTGTAGGGTTGTCCCTTGTTTTACCCTGTTGGGGTTCTTCTGATGTGTTTTACCCCTGAAAACTAACATGGACCCTGAAAACCACTGGTTGCTAGAGGAAAAGACTCTTCCAGGGCGCCAGACAGGACTCGGGTCCGTGAGTTTTCCGGAGGGAACATGGTTTGAATGGGTGTTTGACTGGATCCCCTTACCCTTTTCGACCCCGTGTGATACGCGTCACGTGTGTGTCAGGCAACGGGAGAAGGAGCGGCAAGAGGCGG